CGTTACGTGTTAGTGTAGTGTACGTGTAGTGTTACGGTGTGTAGTGTAGTGTGTAGTGTGTGTGTGTGTGTGTCGTGTGTGTGTGTGTGTGTGTGTGTGTGTGTGTGTGTGTGTGTGTGTGTGTGTGTGTGTGTGTGTGTGTGTAGGGTGTTTGTGTGTGTGTGTGTGTGTGTAGGGGTGTTTGTGTGTGTGTGTTTTGAGAACTTGGTCTTTGCCGTCCAAAAGGTACACATATGGTGTACATTTGGCAGCCAATTGAATAGACTGGGATTCTGAGCAGACTTTTGTCTATCAAAAAAAAAAAGGTTTAAAAATATATATAGCTAATGCTTAATCTAAGAACTCCTTTCATTTAAAACAAACAAGAAAACTCAGTTTGGGAGGCCATATTTGTGGAAAAACCTCAATGGGTCTTACAGATGCTAGTAAAAACATTAAAATAGTTAATGTTAATTAGATTGAATAACAGGAAAATAAGAAAAAAAGCTGAAGGGAAAGTCTGGAGACTTTTTCCCAACCAGGTGGAAATTTTAAACGGACTTGTCCCAAATGGATAAAGAAATCTTTAGGTGGATATTTAAAAATGGGATAAATAAAACAGAAGTTAATGGGATTAAATCAGAGGTTGGATACAGCACTACGTAATGTTGGATGAGCCAAATGGACCCCCTATTGGTCCGCAACATTAAAGGGCCCCAAACAAGTCTGCTTTATTTGCTTCAGTTTTAAATAAATAAATATTTATTTATTTAAAAGACTGGAAGAAAATGACACTGAGATAGCTGACCAACAATTACTTGGGGCAACAGTTAGGCCAATTAATCAAGTGAAAAGATTGACAAAAGGTCCTGAGTCCCTCAGCTTAACCCCTCACTGGGGACTCCAGAACCTTTTAAACAAAATAGAGTAAATGGTCAGAAATTGAAAAGTAAGGAAAACTCTAGGACTCCTTGTAAAACCAAGGCTTGTTGATTGGGTCCTAATGGAAACTAAAAGATTTAGAATTGAGATGAAAGTTTATAAAAATAGGTATAACATAGGCTTTATATAAGATGGTTACGTCTCTTTTGCTTAATTATATTGTGGGATAGACACGCTTCGCTGGGGACTCCTTCCCCATGTAGATCTGCCCCCCATGAAATGTTGAACACACTGAAGGAAACTATTAGCGTTACCTTGTGAAGGGAAAGCTGGGCTGGGCTGACAAGATAACTCACAAATCTAAGTATTGGAATACTGATCTGAGTTCTGCTGGACTAACTTGTAAATCTAAGTTGATTAGTGTTGGTTTGCTGTTCATGTTTTTTGCTAGCCAGCTGGGTGTTCAAAGATACATATCTGGCTTTGGAATGTTGTTTTGCTGACTCCCTGCCTCCTCCTTTGTGATGATAATGCTGCTAAAGCTGTTCCATGCCTATTGGCCGAATACCCCAAGCTTGTACTTTACCCTATAAAACCTCATGAGCACGTCTTGGAGGTGCTCAGAGCTTCGGAGCAGAAGCCCTTCTGAGCCCGCTGGCGTAATACATCTGAGTACTCCAACCCTCCTGAGTGGAGCTTGTTTCTTGGCTGGCCTGTCGTTTCCGTAACAACCTGATCCCATACAAAAACAAAAACACTGGGAAGTGATAAAAATGATAGTAGAGATGTTGCTCTGAATTTAATTTGTGCACTCAGAAAGATGACCTTTGTTGAGTGCCTTATGCCAGCTTCAGAAGACGTAATTAATTAAACTCTACAGTTCTAGAACATAGAACTCTTAAATTTCAGTTTAGTTGGAGCTTTTCTCACTGATACAGAAAAGAAAATTAAAGAAAATATAGTTGGGCAAATTGATCTTTTAATGTCATCGAGGTGACAGACCAGTTCTTTGGGGGAATTAAAAGCAACGGTCTTTGTCTTACAAATCTGTACAAATCAGAAATGTACATACAGACCAAGATGGCCTGAGACTGAGCATAGTTAGCTCAATCAGGCAGAACCTGAAACGAAAGGAAACAAAGGGAAAAGTGGCCTTTTTAAACTCAACCCGCTGGAAAGCCTCCCTCAGCCAAAATCTAATCCATAGTCTCCTAAAAGTGTTTATCAAAAACAAATACAAATCTTGAAGTCTTTTCCACAAATACCAAAGCCCTAGTCATCTGAGCAAATAAATTCTAACTTATTCCAACTGTTACAAATAACCAGTAAGACTGCATTGTAATACCTGATTCACACTAAGTGTTAAAATGAAGCAGTGCGATCTCTAGTTTTGTCTGCTTGTGTGTCTCTGTGCACATTATATGAGATGTCTCGACCTCTGGAAAATATTATCAAAATCAGATTTATAAAAGAGCTCTATTTAACTGACTTAAAAGTAAGTGCCTCCAAGTTAAATATTTCTAAATATGAGAGTAACTGGCCAGAAGGAATTTCAAGTTCACACGATTATATTCAATTTTAAATTAACGTCTGGTATTAAAGCTAGCTTAAGCTGACTGGTTTAATCAATATAGACGTGTCTTACTTTTACTGTACCTGGGTTTATTAAAGGTCAGTATGGTCTTGTTATTTCTGTTACAGAGTTTGTCAACAACAACAAAATATTAACTTGGTATGGGAATGTTTTCGTAAGTTATAAAACAAAGGTAAATGAGATAAGAGTTTTTAGGTGAACTCTTTCGGGATAATTATGTCTTGGGTATGTCTGTCTAAAAGAGTTTCTCCAGGTTTTTGATAACTTGAGTTTTGCTAAGTTAAATTAAGTGATAGGAATTCATTGACTATCCAGGTTATTTCAAATAAGATAAAATACTGGTACAATAATTGCTAAGCAGGTCTAAATTTACCTAATTTTGTCTCCCTACAAGAGGGGAACTAAAGATGTTTGGGTTTACTAGACACACGCCTGTACCACATCGAAAAAAGAAATTATATTATGTGTTTCTAGAGGTTATGGAATATCCCATCAGGAAATGTTGGTATGACAGACAGTTTTCAATTACTTGCTCCTTGTCAGTTTTTGCTATAGATTAAGGTTTTTAAGGGTTAAAAAATTAAATTAACGCTACTAACGAAAATAAGGGAAATATTTCAGTATGTAAGGAAAGTAGGATGTGTATTTTCAAGAGAAAAAGATATGAGGATAGAAATGATACAGGGAAAAGTTGTGGGGCGAGAGGATGTCTTGGTTGAGTCCCTGGGACGTGCCCTGCCAACTGTGGGCCCTTGGGTTTGCACAGGAAAGAATTCAAGAGTGAGCCACAGTTGAGTAAAGGTAGGTTTATTCAGAGAGATCCACACTCCATCAACAGGGTGGGGTCCGTCTCACAGGGAAAGGAGAGCACCACGAGGTGTGGGAGGTGCTAGTTTTTATGGACTTGGTGACTTTCTATGCTAACAAATGGGAGGATTATTCCAACTGCTTCGGGGAAACAGCTGGGATTCGCAGAAACTGGGCCACCAGCCACTTTTTGACCTTTTATGACCAGCCTCGGAACTGTCACGGTGCCATTCACCATGTTAATGTATTACCATGAGCGAATGATGACGCTCAAGTTCACTGAAAGTCATATCTCCTGCCATCTTGGGCCTCAAGGCCTCCTGGCAGTCAAATCTTCTCCACCTTGGTGTTAATTGCTATGTCATTCTTTTAATGGCTTTGCCCTGCCCTCTTCCTTTGTGTCTCAGAAATACGTGTTGTTAAGGGAAGGGAATGATTTTGTCCTAGAGCTGGTTGTTTTTGGAAAGAAAAATAAGGGACAGACTAACATGGATACAGAAAGCTGTGCAAGGTTTGTAGGAAGGAACCCTGAAAAGGAGTTTTATACACGGTCAGGCTGGGGTTAGATTAAATTTAATTAGATACATGGGTTTTGTTTTTAAAAGTGGGCTGAGGGAAGACTAGATTTGGTTTCTTTCTGTTAAGAGAAAGTTTTCTTGGAGTATTGCTTTTGGGAATAGATCGAATGAGTTTCTTTTCCTCTAAATGATCTGTATTTGTTCTTTGAACTGTTTTGTCACTTTGATTAAATGAATAAGTACTATTTCACAGTGACCCTCTGATCCTAGTTGACCAAGTGTTTTGAAACTTTTTTGAAATTTTGACCAACTTCCCAAATGTCAAATTCTAACTAAATTTCTTTTGACCTCCAGCGAACTCTGGATGCTTCAAAGGAACCCTGAGACATCTCGGAGAGGAATACTGAACTAATTAGACTTGTTTGGTATGTTAAGTTACTTCAGAAGCATTGGAGATAAACTTCAGTTAGATTATATGGACAAATATCATTAATTATACATATTCCAAAATTTATATGGAATTCCCAAAAATGTACTAAGTCCTGGAATAATGTTATCAGTCATCATTCTAATTATTATCTTAAAATGTTGTATGTCACAGAAATATCCAGACTTCTTGTCAATTTTGCTGTAATCAGATCTTTAACCACGCGATTTTAAGTCTTCTGTGATTTTTAGGCAAACCTTGTTTTACTCTGATGCTCTCATAAAATTAAGATCTTCATGAAAATTCATAAAAAGGACTTTTTGATAAATATGAGTTTCTGATAGCTTTTAGATCATACCACTTACACTGGATAAGAAATTACAAAGCCCTCATGGAGAAAACCTGACAATTTCATCCAGATCAACAGGAATTAATTATGTGGGACTTAATGAACTGAGAAATATGATTTATAATTTTATAACTTTTTCTGAAATATACCAGCTTTTAACCTTTGTCTTCCAGAAAAATCTTCTTATGCTGTGACCTACAGTAAGTTGATTAAGTATACCTTTCTAAACAAAGATGAAACATTTCTCTTTTTCTTTCTACTTGACCCTTCCAGGATTTGGCTTCTCCAGCTGGCTCCCCGTAGACTTGACAGTTTATTGCGACCAGATTACAATTAGTTATACTAATCATTGTTTTAATTTGTTCTGTTTGTTTTCAATTTGTTTATGGTGGGTGTGGCTCTCTGCTGCATTATGACTTTATTATGTTACTAGTTGTATTGCTTATATCCTGTCTGTTTTATAAGATTGTTGTCTCTTGCATTTCCCAATGTGTATCCAGTCCTCCAACAAAATTAAGGATGTCTTGAGAGAGTTAATCATGTATATAACTCTACCTAGAATAACAGTGCAACTCTAGGTATGGGAAGAAGCAACAAGGGAAAATATTTCCTGGATCATAAGTGACTAGTGAAACAGGCGAGCCAGGGAGTTTGAGATCACCCACAGGTTCTGATCCAGAAAAGATCACTGAACGGCCTATCAACAGAATATTCACCTGATCTAGGGACGAGCCTTCCTACTGCCATGGGACAAAATTGGTCATGAAATGTCTCCCAATTTGGCCGAATTTATGACCAAGGCGAGACACTGTGGATGAAAAATGTCACCTGCCACATCAGCGAACAAAGGATGTTGTGGCCATCAAGCCATCAGCCCCTGCAGTCACCCACAACGGTGCACCCTGAGGGATTGAGGATGGACAAAAGCAGGAGTCTGGCCCCAGATAGCTAAGGTGCAGGTCAAAGGAGTGATTTCAGTGAGCCCAGGCTCTTGCATCTTCCCATCCACTAACTTGAGGTGTCTGGTTTTCTCGCACAGTCATCTTCTGATGGTCTGACCACCTGGTGCATCCTGGTTCCTCCCTTACCTCTTCAGAGCAGTTCTTCAGAGCGATCTGAGAGGCTGTCTTCTGGGTTTAAATCCTCAGAATATCTGCCAAATAAAACGTAATTTTCAACTTTTAGATTGTGCCCCTTTTTTCAGCTGACACTGGCTACTTAGCAACTATTTCTTCTCTTCCCCATGGACACCGCCTGGTATGAACGTCATTAGCCCTCTGCCTCCCCCAGCGAAGGGGCAGACACTCTCCAGATTTGAATCCTGATCAGAGTGACCGGAAGTCTGAAGACAGCAGGTGCTGTCCCCACCAGCAGAGGCCCTCTGAGAAGGTCAGTCCTGCCTGGGGCCATTGTCTGTGGGCTTCTTTGCTCCAGGACCACCTTGGGTTCCTGCACCTGTCCAGGCTGGTTTTCCCGTGTTCGCAACGAGTCAGTGTCTTCCTTACATCCTTTGGCTTAAAGTAGGTTTCTGTTACCCTAACTTAGGTAGTGAGACAGTGATAATATTAGGACTTTCCCTCCATTTTCAGAGTCGAGGTTTTGGCTCTCAGATCACAAACCTAAATAATAAATAAAATAAATATCCTCTAGTTCAAACGGATGTAAATGAGTGAATGAATGAGTTAGTTCATAGTGCTGCCCCCGTTGTTAATGCCTCGTTTTGAGAATTGTTCTGTGTTTATGTGAGAAGTTAATATTAGGGGAGGCTGGGTGAAGGGTATAAAGGAACTGTCTGTACTATTTTTGCTCTCTGTAAATCTCAAATGACAGTAAAAGTTTAAAAAGTATTCTTTAAACTAAAAATATTGCATGCAGTTAAACCTGTCACTTAATAAAAGAAGACAAACTCTTCCGACCAAATATAACTATGTAAAATTTCACTTGAGATGAACTGACTTTGTAGAAATAATGACCAGAAGAGGAGATTCACAAAGGGAGCAACGTATTTGTTTAAATATAAAATGAGCAAAAATAAACCCAAAACCTAATGTTTTGGCAGAGATTTCTTTAAGTGCCAGGACCTTAAAAAAAAAAAACGCTAAAAATAAGCAATTAAAAAAAAATAATCTCTTCCGAGAGGCGATGGCTCCCGCTCTGACGTCGCCTGTGCTCCTTGAGGGATGATGAGACCACAGATCCGCGGCCACGACTGAGGCTGGTTTAAATCCGGAGGCCTCCCCTCTTGCAGGCGCCCACCTCACCAGAAGCCATTGGACCTTGTTCAGCAGTCATGTAACTGCAAGTGCTACCGGTGGATCCAACTGGTGTCCCAGGTTCTTGTCCCGTCCCAGAAAGAATTCAGAGACAAGACATAGAGGTTAAGAAAAGTAAAGTGAGGATCTACTAAAGGATGGACAGCACACTCTCAAGGGGAGAGCGGGCAGGCTCAGGGGAGCGGCTGCCCTGAGTTTCTCTGGCAAGCTGGTGACACAGGGTGTGAAAATGAATGGGCGGAAGATTCATTGAGGAGGGAAGGGCTGGGGTTGTATTTCCTGATTATCGTCCCAACTCCACCTTCCCGTGTGGAGGAGGGATTTTTGTCCTTATTTAGTCTGGATCAGAAGTGTCCTGGCATCGGTGCGTGATGGGGACTCCTGACCTGCAAGGCTAATTTTATTGAAATGAGGGTATAATGAGCAAAAGGTTACATTCAGACACTAGAAATTCCTGCCTTTTCTGACCTTTCTTTGTTGGTCTCCAGGCCAAAAGGTGTGGCTCCTTATCAGCCCAAAGATTCCTGCTTTTCTTTCTCGGCCCAGGGACCCCTGGTGCTTACATGTAGGGTTTCCTGCATTTGGCCTGTGCCCCTCCTTTATGCCCGACTCCTGCCATTTGCTCTGTGTCTCCCTTTCTCTGCTCATATCTAGCTCTCTACCTGCTCTGACACAAGTGTCTTCAAAAAGGAGCCAATGACGCCACCAAAACTCTCAACAGAGGCGTCTCTGAGGTCATCGTGATGGCTGCGGACATGAGTCTCGGACATCCTCCTGCACCTGCCTGCCTGCTGTGTGAGAATGAGAACGTGCCCTACGTGTCTGTGCGCTCAGGCAGGCCCTGGGGCGGGCCTGTGGGGTCTCCAGGCCTGTCATCGCCTGTCCTGTCACTATCAAAGAAAGCTCAGAACTGAAGCAGCAGATCCAATCCATCCAGCAGTCCATTGACAGGCTCTTAGTCTAAACAGGTGGCCTCTGCCACACTCCCTGCTGACTCCTCCCCCAGAGGTTATGTGTCATGTTGTCTGTTAGCATGTAGTATTTCCAGCTACCTTCTATTGTTATAAACTATTGTAGTGCTAAAAAATAGAAAATAAAATCATTCTTCCAATCTTTGCAGCTCAGTTCTGTGTTGGGGCCCTCCTTCAATACCATGTTTGCACTGAATCTACAGCTCTGCTAAGTGAAAAATGTGGGTCTTCTCAATGCTTTTTTTTTTTTAACATTTTTTTATTGATGTGTAATCATTTTACGATGTTGTGTCAAATTCCAGTGTAGAGCACAATTTTTTAGTTATACATGAACATAAATATATTCATTGTCACATTTTTTTCTCTGTGAGCTTCTTGTGTATATTTCCCTGTGCTGTACAGTATAATCTTGTTTATCTGTTCTACAATTTGAAATCCCATCTATCCCTTCCCACCCTCCACCCCCTTGGCAACCACAAGTTTGTATTCTATGGCTATGAGTCTGTTTCTGTTTTATATTTATGCTTTGTTTGTTTGTTTTCAGATTCCACATATGAGTGATCTCAT